ATCCATCCTTGAACTTTTCCTCTTGTTTCAGGATTTGGAATAAGATTTGCTGCATCTCGTGCTACATCCCAACCTTTCTGTACAGTTTGTATAATAGGTTGTGCTTTCTCTTTAAGTATACCTAATGTACTCAAAATCTTCCTTCCAACTCCAAATACACCTCTGGCTATTGTTCCCACTGCGGGTAAAAATCTGGATGCAACTCCTGCTAATGCGCCAAATAAACCCATTTCTTATAGGGTAAAAAATGACGAATCCAAACAAGGACCCCTATGTTTCTAAAGCGACAAAGAAAGCACTCATGGTAAAAATCTTTAGTTCAACACCAAATGCTTGGTTTATGGATATCTTGGAAAACATTCCGAGGTATAGAGAAGATGGACCACCATACTGGCTAATATTTGTTGGTCAAAACACAAGATACTGTGAAGCCATACCATTATGGTCCAAAAATATTTTAGATGTGAAAACTGCTTTGACAATATTCGTTGACAAATACCATCCAACAAAACTGACATCTGACTGTGAAAGTTCTTTCAAATCAGACGATATTAAAAACTATCTGCGTTCAAAAAATGTAAACCAATATTTCATTGTCGACCAAAACCATTCTGCTCTTGGTGTCATTGACAGTTGTATAAAAATCTTAAGAGACTTAAACCAACCACAAGGTGGTGAGGTAGATGAAATGTCATATGACGACAAATATAGACACTTCTCCATGGCAAAGATGAGACAAGTTTTAAATATTTACAATAGCCGTAAACAAAAAGGTTTGGGAAACCACTCCCCCGAAGAAATGAAAAACAACCCTGACTTAGAGAAAGACTATATATTTAATAGTTTAGTCAAAAGAGACAAACAAGAAAGAATGCCAGGCTTCAAACTTCAGAAAGGTGACAAAGTAAAAATAGAAATACCTAAACGCGACCCATATGAAAATACTATTGACTATGACAACAATGGGAACTCGACAGGTACTCACCTTCGTGTTCGTAAAAATAGAAGAAAGTATACAAGAGAATATTATGAAGTTTTAGGCAAACATGGCAAAATGTACAGACTGCAAGCAGAAGATAAAACTACTATTGTCAGACCTCGTTTCAAACTTGTCAAAGTTCAAGGTGGTATACTTTCAAAGACAGTTCCTAACAAATATAAGACAACTCCTGACGAATATGCTAAAGAAGTTGAAAATGACGACTAAGCATTTCTATACCATGCGTAAACTGTCATGTAAGGTGGCATGTAGTCTTTACTTTGTCCCGTTGTTTGCGTATACCCTGAAACGCGATGTGTATGGTTTCCTCCTCCCTCAGTGTTACTCCAGTAACAATTTATAGCAAACTTAACGTTGTCTTTAACATCATATCCTTTACCTTTTGTCATTCCTGACCAATCCCAATATCTATGCTTATGCCAACCTGCTTGAGATGTACTTAAATCTATGTAGTGACTGTGTGCAGGTAAATTTTCACCTGAAATCGTTTTACTTCCACCTGTTTCCTTTGAAGAGTTTGCACAATACAAAAACCTGTCGACTATTTGAGTCCAAGTTCCAAAACCAAGTACTACTTCTGGTCTGGTAGAGTTCATTGACGTATAAATAGAACCTATAGGATATACTGTTTGAAGTATTTCTGTCTTTAATGTTTGAAGCTCTGTTTTGTCTGCTTTTTTATATAACTTTTCTTCAAGTTCATTTACGTCAGAGATGCTATGTCTATGATATTTTTGTGGGTATGTTCCTTCTGTCCATGCGAAAATACGTTCTTTTGTTGCATCTACATATCCTTTTATCCATGTCGAGTCTGCTTTTGTATTCCTTAACTCTGTAACACCTTTCTCAAGCTCTTTCAACTGTTGTCCATCTTCCATTAAACCTCTGGTATGACTTGAAACCGTTTGTGCCAACATATCTACAGTTTCTTTGTCGGCTTTAAGGTCTAAACACCCTGAAACCCATCCTGTATCAGCTTTCGTTTTTAAAATCTTCGATGTCCGTTCATTATACCATTCAACCCTTTCTTTAATTTCATTGTCTTTTTCATCCACATATTCCTTATCTGCCTTCTTCACTAACGCACTAGCCACGCATGCTAACTCATCGTTAACATATGTTTTGTCAGCTTTCTTTTCAACATCCTCTTTTGTTGCATATGTTGCATCTGCTCTGTCATGTTCTTCTTGAACTTTTTCAATGACATACTCTTTGTCAGCTTTGTTGTCAACATCTGCTTTCAAAAGAAGTTCATCTATAGGTTTCTCGTTTAAAGTTCCTTTTGTTGGATTTATACAAACAGTATGGTTCTTACTGTCTTGAAACAGAAACTCGTCTGTCATTGGGTTTAATGTCAGTTTTAAGTTTCCTTCTTTCAATGACTCAGATATCTTAGAATAGTTTGAAAAGTTTGTTGTGTTCTTATTTAGAGCTTGCAAAATGAGTTGTCGGTTGTGTTGTATTTCTCTCATAGACGCTGTTTCTTTCGACATTTTTATTCTAGATAAAATATGCTTTCAATAGAAAAAGAAAATTCAAGAGTTGCTACAACTAAACCATTAGATGAACTTTTTACTAATGTCGGTCAAAAGTTTGAGACAGAGACCGTAAAGCATGAAGGCTATCGTTTTGACTACCCTTAAGATGGTTAAGAGACCCATCCGTCACAAAAGCTGTTGGCTTTCGTAGAATGAAGTTCATTTCAGAAGCCATACATGGTTTCCCATTTACGGTCGCTTTTGAAATTCGATACTATAACAAAGAGAAACGTACGTATGAGAAATTTGAACAGGGAAAACTTTTACAAGTTAGTTTGCTTGTAAACTTAGAAACAACTCTTCAAGCTTTTCAAGAAAAAATAAACGATATCTATCTCGAATATGCAAAACAGTACAACATTGACGAAGGAGAGTACCATCTCGATATTATATATGACAGGAAAAATGCAACTGTTAAAATCAATAAAATAGAAGACCTTGGAGAAAACGTTTATATTTCTACAAAATATAACAACTTGGCATGGCATAGATTTTTGAGGATGTTAAATCAGCCTGCATGGTATCCAGTACACCCGGACTATTATGAAGTCTCAAACCCTAATGGAACATATGAAAATGTTTTCGACTCAGATGCTATTATTGTTCATGCTTCATTTTCTGGCGCCCAAAACTCTTTCTTATGCTTGGCAAATGACTTTTACGAAAAACCTACAAAGTTATACGAACCACCAAGTGGAAGTATTTCAGACTTTCAAGTATGGTTTACTACAGATGGAAGAAAAAGAATAATTCCATTATACCATGCGTTTTACTTAGAACTTAGTTTCATATACAACTACTATCGAACGGTAAAAATATAATTTTTTAATACGGTTGAGGTGTTGGATTTGGTTGCCAACTAGACTGTGGTGCAGGTTCAGGCTGTTGTATAACAGGAGCTTGTTCTTCTGGTTCAGGGTCTTTAGGTATAATACCAACAAACTGACCTACTCTTTTACCAATATTTTTGACACCGTTCCATACTCCTCTTCCGACAGATTTTATTCCATTCCATATACCTCTTCCAACATTTCGAAAGAAGTTTCCTATCTTACTGAAGAAACCCATTTTACTATATGTAAAAATCTAATGTCCACCTAGTCTCTTACGTTTCCTGTTGAGTTCCATAGCATTCTTTAACTGGAACTCATACATTCTGTTTCTCCTCTGGTAGAAAACATATTCTGGGTCAACTCCTGTGTTCGCGTCATCTGCATAAAGTTGTTTATATCCCACTTCAGGGTTTGTATAAAACTCTTTCCATCTCATATTTGCATACCATGGTGGCAAACCTAACGCAGCGTCATTTGACATGGCAGTTTGCATTTGTACATCTGTTGGCACTTGACCATAGTTTGCCATTGCAGTTTGTATTCTAACTTCATTTGGAATATTCTCTGGGTTTGGTTGTCCAGGTTGCTGTGCATTCGCTAAGTTCTGTGCGTCCATTTAATATTAGATAAAAATATCTCTTACGAGTACATATGCTGAACATTTGCAGGCATTGGTTCATCTTCATATTCTCTGTACTTTTCTGCCACGTCAAATAAATAAATGACACAATGGAAAAAACCTAAAACTAACAATCCGATTTCAAACCACATTTACTTACTAATAAAATTTCTTTATTGTGACACTTTCTCCGGTTTATAGGACCTCTCTCATATTCTATCTTGTCATATATAAACTCATAGTCATGTATGTCCTCTAACCATCTCATAACGGTTTCCAAACCACTTTTATCGGATGTAAAGTAAAAGCATGGATGGTTATGTATAACGTCTAAAGTTTCTAAAGAGTCTCTCAAAGTCCAGTCTACTTGGTATTGAAAATCCCATGTGTTATAGAACGGCGGGTCCACTATAAAGAAAACATTTTCCTTGTCTTTATATTTTTCATACAACTCTGTCCAATGACATCTCACAAACTCTATACCCTCAATATATTTTTCTATGTCCTCTTTGAAAACATTTGTATAGTTAAGATATAAAACTTTTGACATAAGTGTTTCAATGTCATGAACTCTTATAGAACCACTATATAATAGTCTAGCAGATATACTATCCCAGTCTATATATTCTGCTTTTTTCAAAACCTCTCTCACAATATTTTTCTTATCTAATGGTATACGTTCCATCTTACCTATAGGTATCTTTTCTTTTAACTCTTTCAATATATTGTTTGTGTCTGGTATATGTTTGAGACGGTCCATATAGTTGTCGAAGTCATTGCATATAATCTTTGAGTCTGGGAATATTGTATGACATAAATGGGATATATAGAAACTTCCACCGAACAAATCTACAAATGTTAGACCATTCGGTAGTTTCTTAAGTTCTCTCAATATAATATCTTTACATCTACTCTTATTTCCAAAGAACGGTAACAGTGGTTTTGTAAAATTCATTTATATATAATAATAAAAATTTTTTACCCGAAAAGTGACAGAAAAGTGACAAAGCATGAAAACATATATAATTTGTGAAAAGCGACACATTATATATGTTTTCGACCCAGAAGAAGGCTTCTTCCCAGAAGCAATGGAGGAAGAAGAAGAAGAGGAGGAAATACAAGACTCTATCCAAGAAGAGTCCTCCGAATTCACACCAGAAGACTAACAATTTTCCGAATAAAAACTTCATTTATACTAAACATCTTCGGGGCTAGAGGGCGCAACGCGCCTGGAAGCCCCACTACCTTTTTTTTTTTTTTTTTTTTTTTTTTTTTTTTTAAGCAATCTAATGCTACAAAAATATTACTAACTTTATATTGATCTACGTGAGTGCTCTCATTTTAACAATCTTTGGAGAAATGCGAGGAAAGTGATATAAAATTCCATATTATGACACTATTGAATTTGATAATTGATTTATGAAAGAACTATATACAAATAAAATAGATTTTTCTAAATTATTCTTCAGGAATCTTTTCCGTAAACTCCTCTCTCCTCGAATATTAAGAAATCATTTGTATGAGGCAATCGAAATATTTATCATTATTCCATGGAATTCTATTTCTTTTCATATTTATCATTGCTTTATGAAAATCTCTTTCTTTAAAAATTTATACAGTCCTCTATCATTGTTTTATGGAGTTCTTGTTCCTTTTATATTTGCCATTGCTTTATCAAATCTTCTTCTTATTCATATTTACAATTGTTTTTAAGAATTCTTTTTCTTTTAAAATCATTATTTTATGAAATTCACTCAATATTGCAATCAAAGAAAAATCAATCGAAATTGTCAAATTCTTGTTTATGCATGGTGCTAGGAGTATCTGATTATTTTTTTTACAATAGTATGATTCTATATTGAAAGAGGATATAGCTACCTTCGCATCATTTATGAATAAACATTATTAATCATAAACTCGTGTTTTGTATCAATAGCATTGAACAAATATCAATATTCTACAATTTTTATTTATTGTGAAATCATAATTAGAAACGGACATAGATAATTCAACTGAAATCGATTGATCATGTTACCAACACGGCAAGATCGATGTGAATAGATATAAATCATATCACTTATATTCAAATTGGAATTCTTAAAAGCATACTTTGAAATACTGATTTTTTCTTGCCTGTATTCTCGAAAAACTGTGATTAACTCTAGTGACTTGCATTCAGATAAAAAATTTCTATCAGCAAATACAACGGATTGTGGGATAATAACATTCTTTAAATATTTTGCGTTGTATATAGATGCAAATCCTATGTTTATAACTCCATGTGGAATAATGTAAGATGAACCATTTTTGGATGCTGGATAATAAATTAAATTTTGCATATCTTTGCTATATAGAATTCCGTCAATTGAGCAAAAATATGCATTATCTTTATCGACGTCTATGTGTTCTAAACTCGGAGTGTTATCAAATGGATTTCCATATTCTAATTTTTTTAAATTCTTAGGTAGTTTTAGATAAAAAACTTTGGTTCCCATTAGAAAAGCATCCCCAATAGTTGTAAGAGTGTCAGGAAGTGTAATATCAACTAAATTAGTAAATTTTTGAAAACAGCGAAGAGGAATTATTTCAAATCCATCTGATATTGATACGTTGGTGTATTCAGATGGATTTATACCAGATGGTATTGAAACCGTGGCATTATCGTTATATAAAATTGTAAGACTCATCGAGTTAGCTCATAATCGAATCGATTGCACCCTTCTCTAATGACAAACCAAAAGTTTGCATACATATTAAGTTTGAGATTAATAATGGTATGAATTTGTAAAGTTAAACTCAGACAACAAAAAGATTTTTGAAAATTATCTGGTATATTTGAATTTTCTTTGTAGAAATATTTAATGTTTCCTTCCAATATAATTAATTTTATATCAAAATCCTTTCAAAATGGAAAGACAAAATCGAACTTTACAAAACGATTATTTCTCGAACAATCCGGCCTTTTTTGTTGATATAATGCCAAAGGAACTTGCACCAGCCAAGCTTGAAACAACAATCCACCTCCAGAAGGCTGTTCACAACACAACACGCAGATTCCGTGCTGAGAGAGCCATCAAGGTCATCACAGCTGCTGCTAAGAAGATGATGCACACAGAAGTCGTCAAGATCGACCCAGAACTTAACTCTCGTATCTGGATCCACGGCAAGAACTGCCCACCAGCCCGCGTTCGCGTTGTTTTCGAGCGTAAGGCTGATGAAGAAGATGCTGAGAAGATGGTCACAATCGCTTCTTACAAGAATGTTGCTTCCTTCAATGGCCTTCAGACACAGAAGGTTGTTGATCAGTAAACAACATTTTTTTATATACTAAAATAGGATGATTTTAAATCAATTGCTTTTGCATCTATAAAAATTGAAAATTCTGACTACAGACAAAATAAGAAATAGAAAAATGATTATGTAATATCATACAAAAGAAAATCCATGGCTTTATTTTAACATATTTTCATCTATTTCGAAGCGTTCATATATGGAATGAACAGATGTACCATCTACTGCTGCTAATTTCTCCACTAGCTTAACTCCTTCGTCTCTAGTCTCATTTAACTTATGGAGGCGTTCAATATGCATTTGTGTCTCTTTTTCTGTAGGTAAGTCGATATTTCTTTGCTTTAGAGCATCGGATTCAGCAGCGATTGTGTTAATTTTGTTTCTAAGTTCAATAACTTTTTTGGTATCTGATTCTCTTTGTTTTGAAGATGCTGGTGAAAAGCATTTCCTTGATTGAGCTGATCTCTTGCGTAATGCAGGAGGAATACTCCAATAAACACCAGGAAGACCATTAATTTCTGCAATTTCGCCAGATCGAACGAGTGCATCAATTCTATTTTCGTCGAAGAGAGAGCCGCTGTACTCCTTAATTTCTGCAAGTGACAAAGGAGCACGAGCAGTTTCAAGAACTGTTAATGGATCCATTTTTTCCTAAAATTTTTGTCACTTTTGAACTTCACTAGGGAAGTAATTTTGTAAACTCTGTGGTATTTTTTCTAGTCTCTTGATTTATAATGTAATTTGATCAATTAATTTTTTCCAAAATAATTTTGACATTCAAAATATATCATGAAAGTGCTAGAATCTTTAATATGTTTTTTTAAAATTGCATTTTTTTTGAAATTTTCCGTTGAAATTTTGCCTTTTTCTCAAGAAAAAATAGATTTTACGAATTTCTAAATGTGTGGTGATAAACTATTTTATGAATTAATTGTATTATTGTTGAAAATTTTTCAAATCACGTTATTTTGTGGAATGATCAAAATATTTGATAGCATTAAACTCTGTAATTCTTTGTTAAATCATTAATCATGATCGCAATAATCGTTTGTATATAAGTAATTCATAATTAAATGTAGTTTTTACTGATTATCAAATAGAATTCCCATGAAATATAAAGAATACATTGATTTTATTAGCACAAGATAGAATAACAAGTAAAAACAATTCATTTGTAACGTAAAAAGATGTTTCAAATATCATAATTTATTTATTTTTCTCGTTAACAATAAAATAAAAAATATCATTAAATCTTAAACAGGAATTTCATCATCAAGATCTGCCTTAAGCTGATCATAGCCTGCACGACGGTTAGATTGAATGAATTTAAATACAAGCATTCCAATCAAAAGGAAACCGCATAAAACAAAGTTTGTAATGTAAATCACTTGGTTTCTTCCTCCCAATATTGATGGTTTGACTAATGATATATAACGTTCTCCCTTGAATTTATCTTTCGGATAGTTACAAGTGACCGTTACGTTTAGATCACCTGCTGGTATTTTTTCTTCGGTATGAGCGAATAATTTCTTGAACGTAGGGTTATTTGCAGATCTCATCCAAACCATGAAATGTTCATTTCTGATTTCACCGGGGAAGTATTGAAATTGTAATCCGCTGAGCATCCATCTGGACTTTCCTTTATATTCAGGGCTCAATGTTTTGTATAACTTATCAATTTCGCCTTGCCATGCGATATTTGTTTCGCTGAAGTTATAAACGCTAGGAAGAGAATAGTAATCTGTGAAAAAGAGCTTAGGATACAATCCGCATGGTGCGAGCGGTGTGCCATTGATTTCTTCCATTGGGGCGCATTTACTCGTATTTTTTGGAGCACGACCATGAAATTGCTCACGATCTAGGGAGCTTTCGAATCTGAAGTGATTTTGGTAAAAGTTATGAAGTTCGTAGTAGAAAAATTTGTTTCCTTTTAATTCTTCTTTGATATTAAGGGTAACTGTAATTGTTTCTCCATCCTGGCATTTATCATCGTATCTAACCTTATATTCTTTATATGAAAAGCTGGTTGCTAGAAGGAAAATTGCAATTACAATGAAAAATACAAATAAAAGAAGGAATAATTTAAATGGCCTGTGGTCGAACATTGCATGACAACCTCTGATTTCTTGCTGACATATTGGATGGGTAAATTTACAAGAGTTAAGCTCGTTTTCTGACATAAAAAATTAAAATATGAAATGTGCTACTTTTTCAAACAGAAAAAAAAATTATGTCAATCAATGAACTCATTTTTTAGGTTTATTCATAAAAAGCATAGCATTTTTGTTCTAATCATTCTTCAATATCATTAATAAGGTTCAATAATTTCAGAATTGAGCAAAACAAAATTAGTTAAAACAGGAAAGATAATATAAGAAGATTTTAATCAACAGAATTTATGGTTTATTAACCTTTATTTTGAAAAACAAATCCGAATAAGCAAGATATAGGGGGTTTTCGTTTCGAAAATTAATTAAAAATGACAAACACATGACAAACATCATACTTGCAAAGATGTTGCCCATGGAAAATCGTAAATACCTTTAGTAGACTGAATTGTAAATTTTTTAGTGGTACAATATCATTTGCAAGACGGAATCTGCAAATGGAAAACATTCAAGAATAACATTGATGCGGAAAGTTTCTGCGTTAAAATTTCTATGAAAATATTGAAACTGTTTTTGTTGATATTTGATATATTAATAAATATGGATATAGACTTCTTTAACAGGTACATTTCTTGAAGAGTTTCAAGAAAAATATTGAGACAATTTAAAACTATTGTAATTAATTTAAGGTAAAAACATCAGGAACCTGGATTTCAGTTTCTTGGGCCATTGCATTATTTTCTAACTTTTCAATCATAAGCAAATTAGGAGATTTTATTGGGATAATCTTTGGTTTTGAAAAAAGCGTTAGGTTTGGCTGCTTGTCAAGGTATATTTCTGTGGGAAAAGGATTGAATCCATTAATTACTTTCTCACTGCCTGGTCCGAAGTCAGTTTGTTCAGTAGACATGTCCAGATTAATTTTTATTGATTTCGCCCTATATCGTCATGATCGGAACGATTATTTTTGAAATAAACCGAAAGACGATTATTTTTCCCGCAATAGGCAAACTTCCCTAGTTGAAACCAATATTGTTGCATGCTAAGTTCGGTCAATGATAGAAATTGAGTGGAAATTAATCGTCGAGGAAGTACGATTATGTAAAGTAAAAAAAATGTTGTGGGATTTTTAATATTATATATTATTTTATAATAAATTTTTTGAGTCATTTTAAGAAGCACATATAATTTTTTGAATTTAAAAATTAAAGTAGTGTCAAACGAATTTATCACTTAATTTAATACTCAGATTTCTTAAAATTAATGAAAAAAAGGTTTTCTGAGAACTTTTGAGAATGGTTTTCAAATTCCATTATTGAAAATATATAGGTATTGTATGAAATTCAAACTCTATATTTATTAAAATTCTAAATTTTTAATAAAATAACTTTTCAGAGGAATATGATTTTGAATGGTTGATTAATAAGTATAAAAATGTCTACGATTTTAAGGAGGGAATTGTTCCGTATGAGGTATACATCATAACTATATACCTCATAAGGAACAATTCCCTCTTGATAGCTGGGAAACTTTCTCTGAATAACTTATCATTTGGAGAAAGTTTCCCAGCTATCTATTAGAAACTAAAGGCTGTGAGGCACTAATATATAATCAGTGCCTCATAGTCTTTAGTTTCTTATTAAAAACGAGAAAACTTGTTCGAAATGATAAACAATTTCGAACAAGTTTTCTCGTTTTAAGGAGGGAATTGTTCCTTATGAGGTATACATCATAACTATATACCTCATAAGGAACAATTCCCTCTTGATATCCTGGATATTTTTGAATATATTTTTTTAATTAAAGTTCTCAAAAGTATTATCAAAAGTGATTTTTTAAAAATACCTCCAATTAATTAACTAATTAAAAGTATTATATTTTTAAAATTAAATAGTTTTTCAATTTTTTTGAAGGAATTGAGATACTTCCCACGACAATAAAATTGAGAGGTTTACATTATGACTGATCTTAGCATGCAACAATATTGATTAGATTTTGAAAAGATTTTTCGAAAGTATTCAACCTTAAAAAATTGACTTTTTTTAAATAGTTTTTGAGGAAAATTATCAAGAAAATGATCGAATACTATATTCCACAAATGGTGTTGCAGATATTGAGATCAAATCTGACTGTGAAGTCATCTTTGGACAACTTGGCCCATCAAAATGCGGAAATTATGCATTTGAAGGAAGTCAAAACACACTTAAGTCTGTAAGATTTCAACAAAATTCCAAGCTTAACACAATTGGTGATTGTGCATTTTACAAATGTTCAAAACTCTTCTCCGTTGATTTTTCAAATTGTAATTATCTTAGAACAATTAATACATATTCATTTTATCTATGCTTATCTCTAGTTAATATTTCATTACCATCGTCTGTTCAAGTTTTATCAAAATATTGCTTTGAAAATTGTATTAATCTTAAAAATATTGTTATTCCAAGAGATTCAAAACTTAATACTATTGATAGTGGGTGCTTCTTTGGAACAATTATCACATCTCTTTTCATTCCTAAATATGTTTCTATAATAAACGCCAATATTGAATCACCACAAACACTGAAAACAATCGAATGTGATGAACAAAATGAATTTTTCACATCAATTGATGGAATTTTATATTCAAAAGATAAGAAAACATTGACATACTTCCCAGGGAATTATTCTAAATCGTTCACAACTCCCGATTTTATTGAGAAAATAGGATACTATTCATTTGGATTTTCACTTATTGAATCAATCATTTTCACTCAAAACGTCAAAACTCTAGAGTATTATGCATTTGCAAAATCATGTTTGAAATCAGTGAATATACCAAATACTCTTCAATTTACAAGATCAAGCGAGTTTATTCAGTGCAAATTTCTTACTGAAATCATTTTGGGAAATGAATTGAAAACAATAACCCCAGAATGTTTTTTAGGAACAAATATTTCAAGCATAATATTTCCAGAAGGATTGTTAACAATAGGTTTTACGGCTTTTGCAAGTTGTGATAATCTCAGAGCTTTAACAATTCCAAGATCAGTAGATTCTATTGGTGGCCAATGTTTTCCTCCTCTTACTGTTATCACATTTGCAGATGGATCTCCATTTTTCCAAGATGATCAAGGACTAATTTATAATTCACGAACAACACTTGTTTTATATTTGAGTGAACGAGATTCATTCACAATTTCATCATTCGTTGAAATAATACACAATAGTGTTTTCAGAAACAACAACTTGTTAAGAACAATTATTTTTGAAGATGAATCAAATATTAAAGAAATTGCAAATCATGCATTTAGAGATTGCAAAAATCTTACTAATATAATCCTTCCTGCTTCTCTTTCAAATATTGGAGTATTTGCATTTTATGGTTGCGATTCTATTAAAACAATTAAATTTGGAAGCAAGTTACAAATTATTTATAAATATGCATTTTTAAATTGCATCAATCTTGAAACAATTGAATTTTCTGAATGCGAACATGTGTCAATTAACGAATTGGCATTTTCTAACTGTAAGAATCTCAAAAATATTATTTTTTCAAACAATATAACAGTGATTCAGAGTTCATGTTTCTTGAATTGTTTGTCGTTGAGAGAAGTTGTTTTCCCATCATCATTAGAGAATATTGATAAATATGCATTCAGTAACACAGGAATCACAAACATCACATTCCCATCAGACTCTAAACCGACATCTATTGGTATGGGTTGTTTCAGCAATTGTGTTAATCTTTCATACATCACACTTCCTCCAAATGTCAAACAGATCTTATCTAACTGCTTCGAGAACACAAATATCACAACATTCACAGTTCCAAATCATACAGAGTACATGTCAGACTACGTCTTCAAAGGATGCACAAACCTCGTTAAGTTCACTATTCCATCAGATTGCTATCTTCGAAACATCGGTAACTTGTTCTTCGAAGGTTGTTCATCTCTCTCTGTCATCGAGTGTCCACGAAGTGACTACTTCTCAGTTGATGTCGGTGCTCTTTACAACAAGTCAGAGACAGTCCTCTTCTGCTTCCCTCCTGCGTCAGATATCAAGTTCTTCAGTGTCCCACAGACACTTCGCACTATATCTTCAGGCGCGTTCATTGGATGCAGAAATATCATCAGCATCTCTATCCCAGACGACTCAGTACGGATTATCAAACAATATGCGTTCGCAAACTGCACTTCACTGACAGCGATCAACATCCCTAAGTGTGTCGAGAATGTCGAAAGTTCTATTTTCTTCGGATGCGATCATCTGAGATGTGGTGTCATCATCGAGAACAGATCAATCTCATTCATTCGGAAAATCATATCTGAATGTCTTCTTAACCCGAAAGCGATCTACTCATGTGACTTCCTCACATGTCAATGCAGACTGATCAACACCGAAATCACAAAATCACTTCTCTATGCATTCACTATTATTCTATACGTTGGAATGTTCTAAAAAGTTTTATATTAATTCTTTTTCTGAGTGATATATACCTGAATGACAGATCTCAATTTCAATCAGGTAATGCGCATCATCTAATTTTGTGGAAAATAATTTCAAAATGGATTATTAAAAATATATTATTGCAGTTCTAATAATGAATAATATATGAGTTTTTTTTAATTCAAAATTGAGAAGTCTTTTTCAAAAATTGAGAACCTTCAGAAAATAAAAATGAGAAAAAAATGGAAAAAGCCAGTGGCGGGACTCGAACCCGCAACCCCAAGATTAAGAGTCTTATGCTCTATCCGGTTGAGCTACACAGGCTGTTCGAACTTTCAATTTATTAAAAATACAATATATTTAAATTAGGTTTTCTATAGTTTACAAAAATTATTAATTTATTTAAAGCTGATTGATATGGCTAATAATATATGAGTACAATATTTTTAAAACGTATAGCAAAGATCTACATTAGATAATTCTATACCCTACGTTCCCAACTTCTGGAAAACGGTTTTTCACCCTTATGATCAGTTTCAGACACTTTGGGAGTCTCCCAAACTTTGATATTTTGCATTATGATAGAGAAACGTGTCTAGTTTAACGCACAGTTGTTTTAAAGGCAAATGATGATATCACATGAAATTATCAAATTATCAAATTTTGAAGTACCAGTCCAAAGGGTTAATTAGATCCTACACAGATGTGCGATAGTGGAACATATGTGTTCTTGATTTGAGAAGTCCTACTGATAGAGGTATGAATCTCACAGCTTTGTGTGAGTGTGTCTGACACTTGTATAGAGTGGAATATGCGCCGACATATATTATATAATAACATGTAGTTGATAATTATGAAAAAATAGAATTCGATGCGAATGATATTGAAAGTTGTTTTGTAATTTGATATTTTTCTTATATGTGTTAATTAGTAAATGGCTTGTTTGTTGTGATAGTACTGTGAAAAATGAAAGGTATTTTAAATTAAAAAATTGAACAAAATGATAACACAAACAATCAGACAGACTCAAATGCTACATAAGATTCGGCTTTGACTTACTTTGGCACAATAGAACGTCCCTAGTATCATAATGATTAAAAAAAATAAATAATTTTTTTTTTAATTTTTTCATTACACAGTTACAATGTTTACTGTATTTTTGTTATTAAGAATACAATGTTTACAATATTTTTGCTATCAAGAATACAAGAAATACAATGATATTTGTATTACGAAAAAAAATAAGCTAATTATGGTTAATTATGTATTAAACTTAGTGAGCACCTTCATTATCAGATGAAGATATGTCCATTGTCATAGTCTTGAGGTCATCTGTCTCTAAGAATTTGATACCGTGGTTAGCGTAACCAGGACTGCATGTAGCTGGTACCTGATATGATTTAATGTAAGCGAGATCACTATTATTAAATAGAACACCAAGAGGGTTGAATTTAATGGCAGGATTCTTTCGATAATGACGAGCAGCGAGTTCTGAGCGGCAACGGTTCAATTCAACTTTGTTAAATTTAATTTCATTAAGTGTGCACTGATGGATAAAGCTTTGGGTGAGATCTTCCCAATCTCCTCTAATAATTTGACGTCTCCATTGTTTCCAGTATCTGGACATTCTAATTGCTCTGAATTTCGGATCTTTGCCTCTTGATCCTAAATGTGAGTAAATATTTTGAAGCTGAGTCTGAGAATTAAGAGTCATTGCAACTTTTAACCATTTTAATTGCATTTTAACTTCATCATCTTGTTCACGCTCTTCAATAGAAGCATTAATGCGTTTTAGAGCACTTGTACTTAAAGAACATACATGAACTTTTGTATAATCAGTCATTCGAAAATTAAACTAATTTTTTTTGTGCGTTATGTAACTGATTTTTTTTTGGATTTTAGTTTTTCATTTCATTAATATAAATAGTTATAGAATACCAAAAGAAATTTCTTTGTATGATAGTTTTCGAAATAGAACAGTTTTTGGATTGAACTCAAAGATATCATACGAAATATCACATCAGTAAGAGCACAATCAACTATACACGAACTTTTACTCTCAAATATGTATTGAAGATACATAGAATATATGTTATGGATTGATCCAAATTTGATATTCCTATTATATGACATATTTATGTGAGGTTCATAGATTATATATTACATGAAGATTCCATTTTCGAAATAAAAACTGTACCTATTTATCCAGCCATCTGAATGACGATTATTTTTGTAAATTTTGCATTTGGTTTAGATGAATCAAGAGCAAAAACTCATTACCGAACTCGAAAAGCATTTCGATAATGAAGAATTTAAGAAAGGTCTCAAGGCTGCCGAAAAATATTTAAAGAGCAACCCGAAATCAGGACCAATTACAGCTTTTAAGGCTCTCTTCCAGCTTAAGACAGATGAAAAGAAGCAAGCTGCTGAGACAATTATGGCAGCACTCCGTCTTGACATCAAGAATCCAACAGTTTGGAAGATCAATGGCCAAATCAACAAAGAACTTGGTGAATATCAGAAAGCACTTCAGTCTTACACACAAGCCTACCGTGGAAATCCAAAGGATGTCAACACTGTCTCAGAACTTTGCTCATTATCAATCTTTTACGAAAATTACAAGCAATTCCTCGAATACGGCCGCATTTTGATTCAGCTCAACCAGCAGCCATCAAACATCGTAAAGTATGTTGTTGCTCTCGCTATGCTTCACCAGTACGAAGACGCTCTCAAGTACGTCGAAATTTTCGAGAAAAACCTTATTGCTTCCAACTCTGCTGAGGAAGCTGTTTTCAGAGACCAATTCGGCCGTTTCCACGCCCATCTCCTTATTCTCTCTGAGAAATACCAAGAATGTCTCGATTATCAAGACAATCAAATCTTAATTACAGACAGGATCTCCATTCTTGAGAATCGTGCTACATGCTATGAGAAGCTTGGAAATACAGAAAAGTTGTTCGAAACAGTTCACGAATTACTCAAAGAATACCCAGATAATGGCGATTACTTCTCTATTCTTGAACGTCATCTCGACCAAGACAAGTACGTTTCGGAACTCTACAAGATTAAAGACGAACTTAAGTCTAAATACGCACATGTCCGCATTCTTGAACTTATTCCTACAAATGATCCAAACTTCCGTCCATTACTTGAATCACATCTTATTCCTCTTCTTAAGAAGGGCACACCAGCCATCTTCGCGACTATCGCAGACTTCACTAACGACAAACTCGATGTTGCTCTCGATATTGCATCGAAGACAGAAATTCCAATCAGCAGCATCCCAATCGTTCATGTTTTCCGTGCACAAGTCTTCCAACATCGCGAACAATACGAAGAAAGCATCAAGGAATGCGATGAAGGCATCAAACAGAATCCAACCGTTGTCGAACTTTATGTCACTAAAATCGAATCACTTTCTAAGTCCGGCCGCACAAAAGAAGCACTTTGTTCATCAGAAATCTTGAGCAAACTTGATCCAGCCGACAGAAACTCAAACAACATTTACGTTCGTGCTCTCTACAGAGCTGGATTTGCTAAACAGGCAAGACTCACTGCAGAACCATTCTCCATTGATCACGAGAAGAAATCGAAGTTGTTCAAGAACGAGTTCAACAAAGTCCACTTCAGAGCATCTCGTTGCCATCTTCGCGGCGGTGATATCAACAACGCTTTGGTATTCAGTGAAGATGTCATTGCTCATTTCGATTCATATCGCAATGGACAACTCAATTTCACAAATTGGGGTGGACGCCGCGCTATGTCTTTCTTCGAAATGATCAATTGGAGTGCTGATTTAGTCAACCACAACCAACTTGCTAAAGCATTTGCTAACGTTTCTCGTATTTTAATTCAACAGAAGAATACGAATGAACTGAAGCAATTCGCTCAAAAGATGGTTAAGACACATAACCAGCAATCCATGGCTTATCTCGCCGTAATCTTCGCTATGTTGTCTGAGCCAATTCTCTCGCTTAAGTACTATCTTAAACTAAAAGGAGAATGGCTCATCATGGCAACTCCTATTGTTGAAAAACTCCTTCCAAAACAAAAGGATGAATTGAAGGAACCGGCAAAAGAAGTCTTCGAAGAATTGTTCCATATCACAAAAGAAGAACCAAAGAATGCAATTGACTTCCTTTACCTTGCTCGCGGTTTGATTTACAGTGGTGATGTAGATGCAGCGAAGAAGGCATTGAAACAAGGTGCTTCTCTTGAAATGAAGTTCGCAACAAGTATTGATTACAATCTTTGCGCGAAATTCGAAATGGGTGATGAAGGTTTTGCAAAAGAAATCAGAGCTCAGATCAATGAGAAGTATCCTAAGTACGAAATAGAGAATGAAACATTTGAAGCTGATGATCCACACGAGTGTGTTTCAAAGAAGGTTGAAAAATAAAATTCTTTTTATAAATTTTTTTTTATTTTATCAAAACAGATTTTTTATAACATTCAACTTGTAGATCAGGTTTATTTTGTTTTAGCTAATGTTAATTAATGTGTTGTGAATTTTTATTAAGTAGCAATGAAGCTGATGATCCACACGAGTTTATTTTGCATTCAGAATCATGGACTGTGCAACATATATACTGGTATTATATCTATAACAACAACAACAAAAAAAAATAACATAGAGAAAACATCTTATTGTTTTCGAAAAATTTATCAATGATCCCTTAAGTCTAATTGTGAAAGAAATTAGTAGCAAATTTTAAAGCAAACAATCTATTAATGTATTGAGTGAATGTTACCATTCAAAATTTGTGATGACGATAATATAAATAAATATAAAATGTTGGATATTTACATCATGATATGTAGCATTTTTTCTTTTCGCGTTTTTTCAAATCAGACTTAATTGCGCCATGTTGAATTAAGTATTCTTCTATTTCTTTCATACCTATTATTATTGCCATATCAAGAGGAGTTGTTTTATAGTTATAAAGAGGATTCGATAAAACAATGTTTGATATGGAAATAAAGAGAATATATTAAAACAATTTTTGATATTACAAGAATGAAAATTTCATAAGATGATAAAAGATATTAAAAGAAAGGGTATGGATTTCTTGTTAACATCCGCTCCATGTTCAACTAAGAGCTTGATAATTTCAATGTTTCGTTCAAGATTTGCTATCATGAGAGGATAATCATTTAATGAAATATAATTGGATAAAATATTGAATGATATAGAAAGAAAGAAAATTTCATAAAACAATGATGGATATTATAAGAAAGAGAATTCGATTAAACAATAATATATATGAAAAGAAAATGGATACCATGAAATAATTATTAACATGAAAAGAAAGGGAATATGATTAAGTAATGATAGAAACGTTCATTAAACAATAGTATATATGAAAAGAAAATGGATATCATGAAACAATTATATATATGAAAATAAAGAGATTTACATAAAACAATGATATACATGAAAAGAAAGGGAATTCCATAAAACAATGAAATACATATAAAGAAAGAGAATAAAATAAAGCAATGATAAATATTAATTGAAAGGTAACTAGATAAAAAGAATAATAGACATTAAAGTAAAGAGAAAAAGTCCTATGTTGGGATCTGCTCCATGTTCAAGGAAGTATCTGACAAGATCAATCCTCCTTTTCTGAATGGCTAAACTTAGAGGGCATTCATTAGTAAAAAATAAATTTGATATAACAAAGATAGACATAAATATTAGGAAAATGAAATAAAACAATAATAGATATGAAAACAAAGTGAATGCAATAAAGTAATGAAAGATACACAAAGAAAGTGAATGTGGTAAAATAATGAAATATATGAAAGATAATAGAATTACAAAATACAATGATAGCCATGAAAAAAGAGTTAATGTTATAAACTAATGTTTGATGTGGAAAGAAGGAGAATTGTATATTGCAATGATGTATATATAAATAATGGGAATATCATGAAATAATGATATATATTAAAAGAAAGAGAATAAGTGCCACATTGAGATCTGCACCATGTTCAACTAAGAGTTTGATCATTTCAAACGAATCTTGCCGAATCGCAATGGTGAGAGGGATAAGATAAAAATAAAATAAATTTCATTAAACAATGATTTGTTTGAAAACAAAGAAGATATCAAAAAACAAGAATAGATATATAAAGAAAGGGAATGTAATAAAATAATGATATATATTGGAAGAAAGAAAATTTCATAAAACAATAATAGGTATGAAAAGAAATAAAATTATATAGAATAATGAAAGATATAAATTGAAACCAAATTTCAAAAAGCGATGAAAAACATGTAATGAAAGATAAATTCATAAAGAAATGATAGATATTGAATGAAATAGAATGCAATATAAATATATATGATATGATAAGAAAGATACTGTAATAAAATAATGATTGATATGAAAAGAAATATAAAAACTTTCACATTGATATCAGCTCCATGTTCAATTAAAAATTTGGCAATCTCAACAGTATTTTGTTCAGCCGCAATAATGAGAGGAGCTATATTAGCATAAAATATATATCATGCATCAATGATAGATATTAAAAGAAATAAAATTTTATATAACAATGATGGAAATGAAAAGAAGAGAAAAATGATAAAAAATGATAGATATGATAAGAAAAAGAATTAGTTAAAACAATATCAAATATTAAACGAAAGGAAATTTCATAACGCAATAATTGATATGACTAGAAATAGAATTACATCAAACAATGATTGATATGAAAAGCAGGAGAATTGTATAAAATGATAATAGATATTAAAAGTAAGAGAAGTTGTATTTGGTTGATGTTCAACTAAGAGTCTGACAATATCTATCGAATTTAACCGAATTGCAACAGCAAGAGGTATTTCATAGATATTAAATGAATTTGATAAAACAATGATATATATGAAAAAAATGTATATATCATAAAACAAAAATAGATATGAAAAGAAAGAAATTAAATCCCCTATCAACATCTGCCCCATTAGAAAGCAAATAAGAAGCAAAGTCGAAATTTCCATAATTCATGCAACCTGATATTGAATGAGAGTATTGTCCTAAATTAGATCTCAGATATTCTGCAATTTCAAAGTTATGATAATTCAGTGCATAATCAATCATACAATAAAATGACAAACCATCTTCGAGCATTTGTGACATAATGTTTATATTACCACCTTTAACAGCATAACTTTCGGAAAACTGGTTATATTTAGCTCCTAAATTCCTAAGGTAATTGAAACATAGTTCTGATCCGTATTCAAGTGCACAATCAAGTGAAGAATAAGAAAAATGAAAATTTTTATTGACATCAAGATTTGGGAATTTAGTTTTAAGATCATCAACTTTGTCCCATGCAATGTAGTATAAAGGCGAATCTTTTGGATATAAATTGAGAACTTCTTCTACTTCTGAGTTATATTTATCAGATTCGTGTCTTTTATAATATATTAACTTCGATAAATTACTATGTTCTGTATAAACCATCTGTGGGCATCCGTTTAATAGCTGTACATAAAGCTCTGCGAATAAATTAATGTCTTTTCTACGAATATATGAAAATTTTTCAAGTAAATTGCGTACCATTTGGACGGTAATTTTGTTATTTTGAATGAGTTCGATAATTTCGGATGATACTGGTAAAATATTATTGGAATTGATGCTCCATATAATTTTTGAAGCCCGATCAGGGTATTTAATTTCTTCAATGAGCTCAATATTGCTTAAATTCATGTAAGATTCTTCTTGTTCCGAACTGGACATTTTATAAAAAACAAAATATTATGTTGAAAAGTGACAAAATTTCACATTCCGAAAATATGAAATCGAGTTAAAAACTGACTTAATATGGTCCACATATACTATGCAACAATATTTTTATAAACAACTATAATAATAATGAAATTTTGTCCGCATAACATTTCAACTTTCTTCATGATTTTATTTCGATTGATGCTCATTCTAATAATCATGGATATGAGTCTATTCCATTTGTTCAAACAACTGTATTGTTGAGATAAGATCCAAATTGCTTGAATAAATGGGGAAATATGCGTGCTTAATATCATGTGGTCCAAATTTCTTTAAAAAACTGAAAGCTTATATTATATCTGATGAAGTCATAACCTGATCTTTAAATTAAATAATTATTTTGTAAACCATAGAAAACCTAATTTAAATATATTGTATTTTTAATAAATTGAAAGTTCGAACAGCCTGTGTAGCTCAACCGGATAGAGCATAAGACTCTTAATCTTGGGGTTGCGGGTTCGAGTCCCGCCACTGGCTTTTCCCATTTTTCTCATTTTTATTTTCTGAAGGTTCTCAATTTTTGAAAAAGACTTCTCAATTTTGAATTTAAAAAAAACTCATATATTATTCATTATTAGAACTGCAATAATATATTTTTAATAATCCATTTTGAAATTATTTTCCACAAAATTATGTGCTGCGCATTATGTATTTGAAATTGTAGTACATGTAAACTTAGAAACATAATATATCACTATTCGATAATAATCCATGGTAAATATAACAACATAACATTTTTAGTATAATAAAACAAAAAAACTTGAGATAGGAACTTTACTTCTTACTAACATTTCTTCTTGGAGTAACAGGCTTTGCGATCCTTGGTCCTGCAGCTGTTGTTGCACGTCTTGATGATGAAGAGCTGTGAACTGATAGATCGCTTGCATTACTAGCATTACTACGAACACTTCCAACACTAAGTTGACTGTTGTTAGAATGAACTGATAAATTAGATTTGCTACTAGCATTCGAGCGATGCGATGCCATTGATGTTGCAGAGCGTCCTGAGTTCTGAGAAGTTCCTGATCTTGCTGAATTCTGTGATGTTCCTGAACGTGCAGAATTCTGCGAAGAAGCACCACTTCTGATGGAAGATGCCGATGAAGCAGGTCTAGATCCAACATATGGCATTGTTATGTTTGCTTTGGAAGATGTTGGTTGTTGAATTTGTCTCATAGTGATACCAGCTTGAGAAAGAGCCAGTCTTAGTTTCGGTTCCATTTCCCTATTGTTCTCTGCTAATGTTGTTAACTCACTGACAACACCATCTATTGTTGTCCTAGCCAATTTCAGTTCGATATCCATTTCTAACAAAGTTGCTGGATAATTTGCATCTGCTGGGATATTTTCTGCCTTTCTATGTGTCTCACGAGCTTTTGTAAGTGCAACGTTTGCACGTTTAAGCTTTTCCTTGAGCTCTGTGTTTTCATTTGTTGTTTTGTCAACGAAAGGCTTCATCTTTTGTATTTCATTTTGTAAGCTTGTGATCTTATCTTGTTGTTGTTGATATGCCTGATCTAGAGCTTCATGTTGTTCTCTGCAACGTCTTACATCAGCACGACGAGCATTTAATCTCTGCTGAGCAAGTTTCTTTTGTTCTTCTAATGTCTTCTTTCTTTCCATATCTGCGTCATTTTGGTCAATGGCTTTGAATCCTTCTCTGAACTTTGTATTTTGTCCGTTGATCTTGTTCATTGCCTTCTCAAGAGCCCTTAGCTCTTTGACGGCTTTTGTAACTTCAGCTTCCAATTCATCACCTCTCCTTGAGACTTCTTCTCTTTCTTTAGCGAACTTGATGATGTTTGCAGCTTGTGATGGTTCTTCTTCACCTTCCTTTTGGTACTTGCCCATCATTACTTTGAACTTCGCTTGTAATGTTTCACTTCTCTTCTTTCTTTCTGATAACTCTGTAATTGCAAGATGTCTTGCTTCTTCTTCGGTCTTAAGTTCGGTTCTTAATGCTGAAAGATGGGCATCAATTTCAAGAACTCTTTCTTGCATAGATAATTGAAGTTGCTGACGTCTGTTTTCAAGAGAAATAAGTTCGTCACTTTTAGCTGCAACTTGTTCGGAGAGTTTTTCGACTTGGAGTCTTAACATGTTGATTTGTACAAGAACTGTTTCTTTCTGACTTCTTGCCTTTAATGTGCTCTTATCTAAAGAGTCTTGGTCCAACTTTAATTCGGTTAATTTAGTTTCAAGATCCTGCTTTTGCTTTTCAGCGCTTTCTTTCCTTCTAGAAGTTTGCCTTAAATCTAAATCTAACCTATGCAACTGCTGGCCAAGCATCTTTTCAACTGACATTTTTTGAGATAATGTTTCTTCTAATTGTTCGATCTTGGCTTGAAGTTCTACCTTTTCTTCTTCTGTTGTATCACCTTCAATTCTTGAAATCTTCCTTTCCATCTGCTGGATCTGGAAATTAGAATTGTATTTAAGCTCTTCTTGCTTCTGTGTTTCTCTATCGAACTCTTGGATCTTTAATTGAAGATTCTTTGCACGACTTTGGCTTCCTTGCATTTCAGCAAGAAGATTCTTTTCACGTTTACGTTCTTCATAGACAGCTTGAGATAATTTATAGATTTGCTGCTTTTCGTCTTCGATCTTCTTGTTCAAATCCTTGAGAACATCGTTTTCTTTCTTCAAGAATTCATTCATTACATTTGTTTGTTGCTGAAGCTCTTCTGTTGAGTCCTTCTGTGTATAAAGTGCATCCTTTGTTAGTTTAAGGCGTTGTAAATAAGCTTCTTTCTTCTGAACTTCTAATCCGGTTTTTCTCTTGAACTCTTCAATCTCTTCTCTGATTGCACGTTCATTACTTTCTGCTTTGTCAAGAGAATGACGTTGAGTTTCTACTGTTTCGCTGAATTCAAGAAGATTTGCGTTTTCAATTTCGTATTGTTTATGCTTTTGAGTAACCTGGTGATCACCAATAGTAAGGCGACGGTCTAATGCTTTGTTGTCCTGTTCTGCCTTTTCGAGATTCTTCTTTTCTTCACGAACGTTATTTGAAATTCGATCTGTTTCGCCTTTCCGAGAATCGTAGGCTTCAGTTGTCTTTTCAATTGCAACATTCAATGATTGAAGTTGCTGAAGAGTGTTCTCCCATTGGGAAAGAAGCTGGTTTCTCTCATCATGTAGTTTTCGAAATTGTTCTGCAGTCATATCTAATTCAATTTGGAGGGCACGTGTTTGAGTAACTTCTGCTTCGAGTTCTGCTCTTTTTTGTTCAACAATTCCTTGGGACTTTTCAATTTCAAGAAGCATACTTCGGATTTTACCTTCATCCTCTTTCTGGTAACGTTGAAGTACAAGATAGTCTTCTTCTTTATCACGAGCAGCTTGAATCCACTGCTGTAATTGTTCTTCATTGGCTGCATATTCTTCTTTAAATGCTTCGATTCTTTGCTGTGACTTAAAAATCTTTGATTGTACTTCACTATTTTTAGCTTGGACTTTTGTTGTTTCTTCTTCAAGTTTTCCAACTTCGCTAACGATTTTACCATATTCTCTTTCACTTAATTGTTGTAAATGCTGTTCTTCAGTAGCTTGGGCTTCTTTTGCCGTAAGTAATTCTTGCGTAGATTTAACCTCTGTTTGAACGCTTTGCAAATGCTCATTAAGGACGTTTAATCTATCCTGCAAATCTGTGCATTCGCTCGAAACTTTTGCTAATTCTTCATTTTTAGCAAGAATGCGCTTATGTAATGCCCTATTTTCCTTGTTTGCAAAGGCAAATAGTTCATCATAAAGGTTAGTATATGGATCCATTTAGTGTACGTTTATTGATTCTCGTTTTTTTGCCTTTTTTATTTGAAAATTCTTTGATATTATAGTATTAGATCATGTTCTACATATTCAGCATTTTCTTCGAGTTATTTCAACTTTTTGCTGATATTCTCCCAAAATTCAAATATGATATTAGGGTAAAAATAAAGATTACACCAATTCATATTCCATACATGCATTGGGCATTTCTTTCGTGATGTTTTCACTCTCGAATCATCAATATCAGAAAGCGATTTTTTATTATTTCCGTCTTAATTCAATTTTTCTGAAGTAATTTATTCAATGGCGGAATATTAAAAAAACATATGAAATTTTAAGATATAATGTATCTATTAGCCTATAATAATTTGACATCAAATCTGACATCGAAGGTGATAACAAATTTGTCAATCTGACAATGTTCCCTATACTGTTTCTCATGGAGCGCCAGATTAATACAGACTGGAGCCAGTTCTGGTCTGAGAATATGTTTTTAACAGCTTGCGAAATATGTCAGTTGGTAGCTGATAAATACAGAAAAGGACAAATTGATGATTTAATTCCTGTTAATGACACAGAATGCAGTAAAGAATCAACCCAAAATCCATACTGCGGTCTAGTTAAAAACATAACTAAAGATCTTAACGCTACATTTCCAGACGAAATTCCAAAGAATGCTTGTGAAACAATTACCCCATGCATTTATTCCTCAAAAGAGTTTTCTGGACCACTCTGCTATTCATGCAGACTATTCTACCATATCTATCACTCAATCAACGTTACAGATAAAGTTGCACACATGAAAAAGCTCTGTATTACTTCTCGTTCTACTTTCGCTGACTTATGCAGTGGCCTTGAGTTTTCAAGTACCCAGAAATTCTGGACCAACTTAGAAAAATCTAAAAACTCTCTTCAGCAATGCCGTCCATTCTGCCACAGGCCAGGAGAAAGGCCAATGAAGCAAAGAAGACCACATAGAGGCAGCCAGGAATTATAACCTCATTCTGAATATTAAATTTGTACTTTAATTGTCTAAAGCACTCATAGTAATTAATATTTTACGATTTTTGCATACTCCGTTAGACAGTTGTTTTTGATTTTGAGCTGATTCCATTCAAACCAAAATAATTTGTATGATTTGTTATTAATCACTAAGGTTGTCAATATTTCTTTGAAATAATATGATGTATTCTATCTTATTGGCTAAAGTTAAGTAAAATTTAAAAATATTGCTTTGAAATCATGAATAATTGTTTTAAATTCAAGGTAAAATAGATTCAATTAACAAAATAAGCCCTTCGACTCGATTTGAAAATTCCAAAAATTATTAGAAATATATTGTTTAAATCAAAATTATATAATTTTTACTTATTTTTTTATGTGTTGGAAAAAGTTTGTTGGACGTCCACAACTATTGTGATGAATCAGCTCTGGCTGGGTGATACGAATATTGACCAAAAATATGAAAAATCCAATGAAAAACATTTCGAAATTTTTGTTCCTTTTTTTCAAAGGTTAAAATGGATGAATATAAGAAATTTTATCCTGATAGATTATTTCCTACAAATCTACAATGTGTTAATTTGACTTGTTTGAAAAAAATTTTTAAATTTTGCCAAAGTTTTTTTTCCAATATTATTAGGCGATGTTCTTCAATTACCAACAAATGGTTTTACCAGTATCTGAGCTAAGATCTCAATTGTACAAAGGAATTCAGTCTAAACGTCTCGATTCGACATTTTCGTTTAAAATATTTCCGGTCTTTAAGTTCTGCACGAAGCCAGAGACTCTTATGGAATATTTAGAAGAAGTTATAGCCCCTTACATTAACTACATACATTCAAATTCCGATAAATTAACCCACGATTTTTTTGAAAGTACAATCATCATTATGTATATGTTTTCACATCAGTTAGTAGAGTTTTCAGACAGAATCGATGTTTTTTCCAAAGATTTTAATCTAATCTACGATTTACTTACAAAGGTATTCAATTTCCCAACAACAACTTCTCAAAGGAAATTTGTGACTTCCAGCCTCGATTACGATAACCCCCAAGTCAAAAATTTGTACGTCAATCAAAATTTATTAAATAATACAAAATATTCCTTTGTTCAATACATTGCAAGTTCTGGAATTCTAAACGTCAACTCAACTAGTCTTTACAACAAAGAATTCTCCAAGTTCTACAAAAAAGTCGGACTTTTATTAGCTCCTTTTCTTGTTACTGAGTTCTGCGATTATTTAGCAATAAAGTTGGCCGATTATTACGAAAATATCGATATTCTTACATTCCTTATCTCATTACATTTAAGTCAACAGAATTATGATATAGTATCTGCACTTTTCTTCGACAAAATATCAGAGCTAATGAAAGATAACATGGATTCATGCATGGAATGCTTACACAGTATCAGCCAGACATCTTCTCCTTTGACACTCGCCGCATTAAAAGAATTCATGGTAGATAAGGGATTTGCGTTATTTAAACACAACGATTACCTCGAGCAATTAAAATTTTTACTTCAGAAAATATCATCCTTGCTTTCCAATGAGGAATTATACTCAATTTTGAGGTTGAATAATAATTTGATCGAAAGTGTCACTCAATATCAGACAGATCTCGCACCAGACATCATAGAAATATTAGCCAACATTAATATCAACGCAGCATTACCTTTTGTCATTGATTTATTCGAGAAAAATAATGCAGATTTCAAGGATCCGAGAAATATCATTTATCTTGTTCTTCTTCATGGTTCAATCAATGATTTCAACAAGATCATGGCTTCTGCTGCCAACTACAAAGACATTTTCATTGATTTGATCCAAAATAACAAAGATTTCGATCCTTCTTATTTGATAACAATTTGTAAAGTTATCAAAAACCTCTCGCTCGAAGTTAATTGTTTGCAGGAAATTTCGGATTCATTAATGGACAGTTTAGACTCATTAGACGTTGCAAAAGTATTCGCAGACTATGATTTCCTGCCCATTTCTGATCAGGAATATTTTTGTTTGATAACTCCAAACTGTCAAAACCGTTATTTGGCTCTCAAAAAGAGAAATCTTCATTACAAGATTAGCGACACAGAAAACAAAGGCTGGGTTGATTACGCTATTCAATGCTTTGATGAAACAAAAGATGTGTTTTTCGCTGAACAACTCGCAAAAACTAACAACAAAGAAATAATCCAGAAATTAATAAACGAACTAAAAAGTGTCGATTTCATGTTGTCAAAAACAAATTTAACAGATTTTGACTTCACAAATGTAATTCCAAGAGATTATTCTCAAGAAATACTCAAAGATAAGAATAATTTCGTTTTAATCCATAAAATTCCAAAATTTAAATTTAATTTCGATGCAAATTTGGCTGAAACCGTTTGTAAACTTCTCAATTCAGAAAATGAAGTGATTTGCGGTTATTACTATTTAGATAATGCCATAGAATATGCAGGAGAAGAGTTTTGGTCTAAAATAAGTGAAATCCCGCTCAAAAATGATTTCAATTTCTTGCCAGTAATTCATTTTTATTCAATGCTAAAAATTGGCAAATTTGACACAATTTACATGTCAAAAATTTTATCACAACTTATTAAGTCGAACAACGACAAGGCTGTTATTGATTTTATTGAGAAATTGGGCGACAACAAAATCGATTTCAGAAGTCTCAAAAATACAAAATTACCAAACTCTAATTTTGTCATAAATCTTTTGAAACAATGTGATAATTTGACACCAGAATTAGCTGATGAAGCATTTTTGACATTCCCAATCAAGTCATTCCGTTATTTGGCTACAAAATCCGATAAAGGTGAAATATTCCAAAATAACCTTAAATCAAGATTGAATACTTTATTGGCCGGCCAAATAACCATTCCTGAATTTGAAGAGATTATTGATGTTTATTTCGATATCACTGAAAACGAATTTGCTTTAGAATTGGCTTTCCAACTTTTCACAACAGAATTTACTCCTATTTTCAGAACCAATATGTTTTACAAGAAAATTTCGAAAGTTTTTGCAGATAATTTCGAATTGTTCAAATGTTTCCTCAGCGAATGCGAACTTGCAAAAACTTATTCCTCTCCTTTCATAAAAGCTCTTGGAGAAATGTCACTTTTTGTCAATTCATCTGATTCCAAACTTGCGAAAGATGCTTCAGATGCTGCCAAAAATAAAAACGTTAGCGGTTATCAAACTGCCAATGACATTTTGTCAAAATTGCCAAAACGTTTTGAGATGACATTCTTGGAGAAAAACATCACAGATAATGAGGTAAAATATGTGACAGAGAATCATTTCAATCTCACAAACTGTGATTCAATAAATTCAGGAATTTCTGACACTTTTTCTGTTTACGAAGATTTAGAAGAAAACAAAATTATCAGAAAACAAAGATATTTGACGAAAACTCCCAAATATTTCGTCATTTCTTTGTTTTCAAGTTCAAATGACACAAAAGTTGATGAACAAATAGATTTGACAGATTATATCTTGCAAAGTGGCAAAACCGCTGTCTATCGTCTTTGTTCATATGTTGGTAAGAAAAATGACAAGTATCATTTGAACCAATTTTCACCTGTTTTGGCTTTTTACCAGAAACAAAAGTCAGAAACATATCTTTCATATAAACCTGATGAAAAGAAATCAGAAATCATCGAAGAAATAATGAAATTAGATTTCGAAGTTTTCGATAAATTCGAATTATCGTTCTTCATGTTTAACGAGCTCAATTCTGCCGATTTGTTTGAATATTTCTGTCAAAATGATCCTTCTTTCATCGAAAGTTGTGTTGAAAGTAATTTGTCAGAAATTTGCCAGTTATCGTCTGACAAAATTTCTATTTTTGGAGAACTCATCAAAGACTATGAAGATACAGACCTCCTTAGACAGTTGTTACTTGATTTATTGACAAAACCAGAAACAATTTCCAACGCCGTTTCACTTTTAATCTCTAAAACAAAAGACATCAAAGAAGTATTTGAAATTTTCGTTTCAAATCATATACCTCTAAAGCCATTATTGCAAAACGTGACAGATCAAATTATCACATTTGATGACTCGATGATTTCTATGATAATGAAAGATAAGGAAGCAATGTATTATATTCTGAGTTTGGCTGACTACAAATTCATCCAATTCTTCCTTCCTTTGTCAAAAATTTCTGAAGAAGAATTTGACAAAATTTCCAAAATCGTCCCGTCTGATTATTTGTCAGAAATGCTGATTAGAAACGGCAACAAAGTCTTTGCGAAGAAGTTCAATTCTCAGTGCCAAGACAACGAGAAATTCAAAGCTTTCATTGGCGAAATCAACGAAAAATCAATTTTAGAAATGTTGAATTCCAATTCAATTTCTACAATTGAAAATTCAGTTCATTTGGCCGCAGAAAGCAATTTAGTAGGAAAACTCGATAACGAATGCATTAGAGGCATCCTAAGCATCATTCATTCCGATATCTGCACCGAACAAAACCTTTCAAGACTTAGATGTTATTTAGATCTTTTAGGAAACAAAAGTCTTTTCCCTAAGAGTGAATCAAACTATTTGATTTCTTACATTTATAGATGTGCTCGCAATAGAATCGAATATTCATTTTATAACCAGATTCTTCCTTTAGAAAACTTTGATTGGGCAGTTGGTACCGCAATTATTGCATTTAATCCATCAATGAATTTGATTGAAATTGCTTTCATCGCCAGTTTGAAGCTTTACTCATATTTTGCTGTGAAGAACCTAGAAAAATATAATGATGCTTTAACATTTGATTTCATCGAAGTTGTCGCAAACGAAATCCACAAACAACTTGCTAAGAAAGATATTGACCAAAATCTTATTAGATGGTATCACGACATCTTACTAAGATTCCCAAGAGTTTGGAATTTCGTGAAACCCATTTTTGATGATGGAACATTTGGCGTAATTAACGATAAAGAAGGTTTTCTTTTGGTTGCATTAATAGCCTTGTTTGATAGTGGATTTACTTACCCGAACGAAGAAAAAAGATTAATGTCTGATTATGTTTTCTCTTACTTTGCTAAAAACCAAAATTTGATTCCACAAGAATACGATGTAAGAGTGCAAACAATCATGAATATGATTAGTGGATTCAAATGGATGAGTGACACAAACTACATGGTTGACAAATTGCATTTCTTCGCAAATGCTTCCTTCGTTTTCCCATTTATAAGATCTTATATTTTCCAGAATAATTTCGTTGGAAATATCAAAACATTGTACTCAAACATTATCCCTGTTGATGTTTGCAACGAATTAAGTTACTTAGTACAGATTTTGCTGCAAAAGAGTTTGATTACTGAAGTTATTTCTTCCTCACATGACATTACTTCAACTGCAAGAATGTTGTTTGATTCGTTCGACATTTGCAAGAAATCTTGGCCTGCAACTGAAATTTTGATTGATTGTTTGCTGAAAATCAAATCAAGTAACGTCAAAGATGTCGTGAAATACATTGATTTGGATGGTTTCTACAAGTGTTTGAAGGTTATTCCAATGGACTACAGGTGGATGAACATCAGAATAATCATTGTTTACTTGATGAACGCAAACAATAACAGCATTGATTTGAATGACATAAGATCTTTCATTAACACAATTAAAGTCGAAAAAGAAGAGCAAGAAAGAGTTGCAATCGCTGCAAACATTATCAGAAAGTTACCTGAGAAATGGCCGATTATTTTGAAGAACGAATTTGACTCAAAATTCAAACAAATGAGACAAATACCAGAACTAGAAAAGTATGTCAAAATACTTTACTAAATAAAACATTTTTATTTTTCTAAAATATTTTTTCTCATTTGAGTGCGAAAAGGCTTTTTATCTTTGACAAAAGTTGAACTAAAAGGTCAGCATTGAATTTAATTACCTCAAATTATAGTATATATTATAGTGGTATTACATTCTAATATATAAGCACGAAAGGCTCATCTTGGCGAAGATATTAAAACTTTTAAAATTGAAAGGGCGGAACCGGAGGCATTCAAATTCAACAATTCTATGATATATTCTATTGAGATTTTGATAATAAATCTTTTGTTTCAGCAATATATTGGAAAGTTACATCTCTATTTATTACCTTTGCTGTTAATTTTGAATGTAAAATCTTCAAAAACATCAAATCATCTTAGTTCATAGAAACATATTTTTAAATTTGAGAGCTATTTTTTACCACATTTTTTCGAGGTTATATAAGGATCATGCTTGGAGAAAGGTCTCTTCTAACACCAAAATTTAGTTTGTGGATCGCAGCAGTTATTTCTCCAAACGAGATCCATATGTTAAGTTCATATAAGGGTGCACTTACCACTTTCTGACATTCTCTCAATTTTTTTGACACACAAGCTTTATATCCCAATTCTCTAAGGTCAAAAGTTATTATAAATCACTGTTCAGTTCCTAAAATGGCTATTATACTCTTTTGCCCTTAAAATAAAAATATGTTGATATTATCTGAGCGTGCCAGAAAGTTGTAAGTGCACCCTTAAGTTCATAAAAAAAATTAAGAATTGATACAAAAATTTAAGATAAACAAGAAAAATTAAACAAATCTCTCTTTGCCACGAAGCACAGTGGATCCATTAATTATATTATTATTTGATTTCTTATTTGAGAACTGGAACAATCTCTGGAACCATTCTTGTTTCGTTAACTGGGAAATGAAACCATTTTTATTCGTATCGATTTCCTTTGCTGCTTTTTCTTCTAATGCTCGCACGATATCAGCTGCTCCATTTTCTTTTGCGTAGTAAAGTGGTGTTTTCCCATAAATGTCAACGATGTTTGGATCAGCATTTTCTGTCAGAAGATAAATTACAGAATCGTAATCATTTCTTATACAAGCGTAATGAAGAAGTGTTCTCTTATAATGATCAGTTGCATTTATATATTTAACATGATCCAAAAGTCCCCTATAATTTTCTTTTGACGGATTTGATAAACAATTCAATGTGAAATTATTATTTTCGTTACTTCCAGTTACCATAATCAGTAAATTATTGTAACTTGCTTTGAGATCAATTTGTTGGATTTTTGTATTCTTAAAACAAAGAAAAATAAACAATAAAAAGAAGAATAAAGAAAATAAAATGCAAACAATTGTTGATGCAAATAATTTCTTGTACTTATTCTTTGTATGTTCGTTGATTAATTTATTTACTTCGTCTTTTTCTTTTCTGTATTTTTCGTTCTCTAAATTTAAAATAGAATACTCGTTATTGCAGTTGGTGAATTCGTTATCTGCCCTTTGATAATAATCATTGAATTTGTCTGTTATATTTTCTGTGCAAAACTTGTAAAGAACGCTTTCGAAACCGAAAATTTGGAAAGAATCTTGGAGTAATTCAAGAAGATGTTGAATGTGTAATTGCGTAAGATCATCTATAGTGATGTATTCCGCTAAATTGTTGTAGTTGCTATCGATTTTCATGAGGGAAATGATTAAATCGTTATTCCTCGTATTTTGAGCAATTTCATAGAAAAATCTTTTACTAAAACGTTCGCATGGTGGAAGAAAGCTTTCGAGATTAATAGATGAAAAGTGTTCAAGACTGAATTCCAATATTTCTTGCTCTATTTGAGGATCAAATTTTTCTGGTCTCTTGTATGCATTGTTTTGGTTGTAAATACCCTCGTAGCAATCGATGAATTCCTCGATTTCTAGTAATTTTGCTAATTCGTATAAATCTTGAGAGATATCGAATTTCAGAATTTTTAAGAAGTGTGGTTCGAATAAAACTCTTATAAAGTCGAGCGAATCTTTAGCGCGTTGCTCAAAATTTATGATGCAACGATTATATCCTAAGTTATAATTATTTTTTAGAATTAAGCTTTTTTCAATAACGTTTTTCGTTTGTGCAAGCTGTCTATTATTGATGTTGAATAGAAACTGCCTTGAGTTTGCCTGAATCGTATCAAATTGTATTATTTTTGGGTCTACTAGAAAAAAGTTAAAAAAGTGACAACAAATTTAAGATATTTTTATGTTTCGGGTGCCAAAATGATCGAATAACATTTAAACGATAAAAATTATCAATGTTGTCAAAATTTTAAATCAAAATGACAAGAATCGACAAAATTGAGATTTTATAGACATAAAGTGAAATAAAATATCAAAGCAAAATATTTCGGTGGAAATTCATCGTCCTGTTTGACTTTGAAATTATCAATTTTTTGACATAGTGCGATTTATCGCTCGAGGCACTAAAATTTCGAATTGCCTCATGTATTGTCTAAAGTTTACGGGCCGATGAGTTTATTCTTATTTGTCAAAGCATTGTCGTAGAACACTATACGACAATAATCAGCGACAGTTCTAGCATCGAGAACTTATTCTACCTTTTATTAGCAAATTCATTAAAAAATGGGGTAAAATCTTTTGAAATTGAAATCCGAATTATTAATTTATAGCTTTTAATTTAGTTCTCAGAATGCTTTTAATAACTTGCAGCTATCCAATCAATAGATGTATATATTAACTCAGTGAAGATAAAAAACTTTAAATTTTTAAATTTATAAACATGTTTATTAAAAAATTTAGAAACCATAGAGTGTCTTGCCCTGTCTCTTAAGAGCATAGACAACATCCATAGCTGTAACTGTTTTACGACGAGCGTGTTCTGTATATGTAACTGAATCACGAATGACGTTCTCAAGGAAGTGACGAAGGACACCACGAACTTCTTCATAGATATCACCAGAGATACGCTTGACACCACCACGACGAGCAAGACGACGGATGGCTGGCTTTGTGATACCCTGAATGTTCTCACGCATTACTTTACGATGGCGTTTAGCACCACCCTTACCGAGACCCTTACCACCTTTACCGCGGCCAGACATTATAACTAATGAAATCAGTTACCTTCTCAATTGATACCGCCAAAAAGTTTTATTTTGACAATTTAAACCATCATTATTTGAATTTATATTTTTTAATTTTATTGAAAATTAATAGGGTTTAAATTGGCATGAAAAATTGAATTAAAAATGGCGGGGGATGTTTGACCTCATTATTTCTAATGGCTCGTACAAAGCAGACAGCTAGAAAATCCACAGGTGGCAAGACCCCACGTAAGTCCCTCGGTGCCAAGGCCGCCCGCAAGTCAACACCAACAATCGACTCCCAGGGCGCTAAGAAGCAACATCGTTTCCGCCCAGGTACAGTCGCTCTTCGTGAAATCCGTAAGTACCAGAAGAGCACAGATCTTCTTATCCGTAAGCTCCCATTCCAGCGTCTCGTCAGAGAAATCGCTTCTGGCTTCCGTGGCGATCTTCGTTTCCAGTCCTCCGCTATTGCTGCCCTTCAGGAAGCTTCTGAAGCTTACCTTGTCGGTCTCTTCGAAGACACAAACCTTTGCGCCATCCACGCTAACAGAGTTACAATCATGGAACGTGATGTCCAACTCGCTCAGCGTATCCGTGGCGAACGTAACTAAAGAATTTGTTTATTTACAGGATATTATTAACTCTTTTCCTCCTACAAAAAGAACTTACAATATTAAAAATCAATATAATATCACAATGATGTATTTGTGTAATCCATGTAAAACATATGAAGGTCGACATCAAACGATTTGGCAAAATAAGAATTAGAATGATATCATATATTCTCTCATGAAATTCATAATATTTTTTTATTTTTGGCTTGAAACATCAGTATATAGAGTTGGAAAACAATAAGATACCAATCTCAAAAGGATTGAATATGCTTTATTGATAATGTTATGATTTGTAGGGATGAATCAAGAAATGAAAAAGTGACAATTAAAAATGAATTTTTTTGTTTCTTATGGCGATGATTTTTCACCTATTACCAAAGTTTTCAGACTCACAGGTCAAGATTACATGGTGACATTTAAAAATGTTATTGATAAATTCGCAGAAATCTGTAATTCTAAAGATGGAATTCAATTAAACACAGAGCAGCTTAAATTATATATTGTTGATAATACATATCCATTCAGAGACCCAATTCCAAAAGAAATAACTAATTTAGAAACTCCAGTCACTCAATTAAATTTATCTAACTTTGATTTAATACTTTCTGCAGATGTTCCAAAATTAAAACCACCAATGACTCCCACAAATCAAGCAGATCTAGCAAAATTAGACCAATCATCATTACAATTCGAAGAATTGATCCAAAAAGGACAAATTTCTCTTGCAACTAAAGATTACCACAATGCATGGACTACGTTCAGACATGCTCGCGTTCTCAGCGATCAAGATTACAGAGCTTTGTATTATTCAATTAAAGTTTTGATAGCAGCGCATAGATATCCATTAGCAATTGCAAATGCAACAACAGGACTGCAATTATTCCCATCAAATCGCGAAATGCACCTTCTTTACGCAAAAATTCATTATAAAATGGAAAAATTTGCTTCTGCGATAGATATGTATCAGTTTTCCCTTCATAACTGGGATGTTACGATCCAAGAGAAGCAATCTGTTTATTGCAAAATTGCTAAATGCATGATTGCCCTAGGCCAACTCGGAGAAGCATTAGCTTTAATCGAAAACGTTACAGATAATGCAAATTGTATTTATACAGTTGCAAATATTTACCTTATTCAAGACAGATTTTACGAAGCTTGCAAAAAAGCGATTTCTTCGTTTTTCATAACTCCTGATTACAGAAAGATGGAAAAATTCATCTACAATGCCATAATTAACAAGGAAAGAGCCGAAATTTTCTTAAACGAGCTTGGCGATTCAAAGAATGATCCATCAACTATTTTCTTTTTCGGACACAGCTTGTACAAGTGCGGTGAATTCCAACTTGCCATTGACTACTTCGTGTCTGCGTTAAGTAAATCTACAATGGTCTCTTCTATCAGTCTGGCCACATTAAGATGCTTAATTTCAAATTGCGAAAGTGTAGATGTTATTAAGAACTTTGCAAGAAAATTCCTTGAATTAAATATAACAAGGAATTTCACTGAAGCTGTAAAACCAATAATAAACAATACTCTTCAAAGTGATGTAGGAAAAAGTGACAACGAAACTCGGGAAACAAAACCCATCAAAGAAATCGCTTTTGAGAGCGAAGAACCATCATTTAGGACAGAAGACATTGATGCATTAAGCTTCATCATTACCTTCCAGTTATATATGTTCCAAAATGGTTACATTTCCCTTTCTGAACAAATATCCAATGCATTATCCCCTCTTATTCTTCCTTTTGACATGACATCCGCTATAGCTGCCCAAGACTCTATAACATTTCTTTATCTAACAGCCTTTGCTCCAACAATTCCCCGACCAATTAATTCTGATCTCGAGAAAATCTATGTAATTGGAGATAGAACTATATTGACTTTTGCTTACAGGGAAGTAGTTTATCGTGGCTCAAGGCATTTGTTGACTCCTTTGATAGTTGATTATTTATCATTGAGAAGTTTGGATGAAAAGAAACGGACTCCACAACATTCACATCTCAGGAAGTATGTCCTTGGATTGCCTAAATCATCAACGGTTCTTTTGTTCTTTGGCGGCGAAGATGTAATCGTTGGTAAAGTTAAACAATCAATTCGTATGAAATATGATAATATAGAATCGGCTTATCAGGATTATATCAATACTTATACAGTTGTCGCTTCTCAATTGGTTGATCAGATCAAAGGAACAGTTTTAGTTCATCCTGTCATTCCAACAGCAACTGCAGTAGTCCAACAAGCATTGATATTTAACCAAATGCTTAAAGAAAAGATCAATGGAATTGCTGAAGTTAAGAAATCTCTTCATTTCTTAGATACGATCCAATTGTTCATGAAAGAGGATATGACAAGTATCAAACCAGAGTTTAACTACCAAGATAGCTTAATTACCCCTGAATATATCAATACTTTGTCTAATTATTTATCAGAAAATTTCAAATAAGTTAATAGCATTTCTTTTGTATTTTTATTAGTATATAGATGTAAAATTTTGATATTATGTTATCTAATCTAGTTTACTCACAATTTTTTAAATATTGATTTTTTATTAAAACAAATTCAACTTGAATTTGACTTGCAATCAATAGAGTAATATCTTTACATACAGTTATGCATTTATTAGAATAAATAACAAAATTAATATAAAATCATAAAAAGGTTATGAGCTAGTTAATTGATATTTGCTCGTATTTATAAGCAGGAACGACAATTTCGAATTTTTGAAGCTGAAGTTCGTTAATATCTTTTGAGGTTGTTGGTATTTTTGGTAATGTTTTTGGATTTTTCAATAGTTTTCCTTTTTCATCAATTAGCCTGTCTAATTCAACCCGAAATTGTGCGTATTGCATTTTTCTTTTCTTGACCAATTCTCCTTCTTTAACTAATTCATCATATTGATTCTTTAAACTTTGGAGGTATCTTGTCGATTGGTTTATATTCCCATTTGGATCATCTTCTGTGGATGAACTTTCTTCTTCGCTTCCACTTGATGATTTAGACATCAATGATACTTGAAAAGTGACAGTTTAATATTTGTCACTTTACAAACCTTAATGCGTCAGAAAAAAATTTGAAATGGATTATTCTCAAATCATTTGAATAAAAATTCGGAAACAATAATAAAAATTAAATGGAAAAAACAGCATATTTTCAATATACAGCATTTTCAATTTAAGATTTTGTATTGTATCAAAAATTTATTCTTCAAAATGACTCCAAATAAATCTATTAAAGTTGTGCTTTTAGGCGATTCATCATGCGGAAAAACTTCATTAATTAAAGCATGGATGCTCGAAGATAATCCAACGAAGACGTTAGCAACTGTTGGCGCATCTTTTAGAAGACAATTTGTTGACATCGATGATATACAATACTGTATTGATATTTGGGATACAGCTGGTGATGAAAAATACTCATCAACAATTCCTCTATATTGTAGGAGTGCTTTTGGAGCATTTATAGTTTTTGACGTTACTAGACCAGAGACTTTTAATAGTGTTTCAAAGTGGATTGAGATTCTGAAACAATCTGCAGGTGATGTTCCCTATATACTAATTGGAAATAAGGCTGATCTTGTAGATCGTATTATAGTTACACAAGAACAAGCTAATGAATATGCATCAACATTGAAAGTTGACTATTTTGACACAAGTGCGCTAACAGGACTCAATGTTGAAGATGCTTTCAGTGCTCTTGCAATGGCCGCTGTTCAAGCTTCTAAAGAAGACGTTCAGAGGTCAACCACACAAGATCTTGTAACCCAAGATCTAACAAAGAAGCAGAATAACAAATCAGGTTGTTGTTAATATATTTAATTTTCCTTTCGTTATATATCTATTGCTTTATATTAAAACTATTCAATTTTGTTTTTTATTGTTATATATTGAATTAATAGTTTTCTTTTGATTATCAAATTTAGAGATATTTCTTCAAAATAAAGCGTTGATTTGGGATTCATCTTAAATTTTATGAGGGAATTTATCATCACATTACTAATAAGTATATGACAACAAATTGTTCTCTCCAAAATATTAAATCATGACCATAGATGATGAGCACCTCATAACTATTATATAACACACAGTTTCAACAAACCAGTTAGAATCATCCCATTTTCGTAATGTTTCAAAACTCCCGATTGCAATAATGAATTCACCGATCGTAGGAAACACATCAAAGCTCATTGATAAGCATGGTCTGCATTTCCTTTTATTCTTGATATTAGTTATGATCTGAATGGTAAATTCTGAAGGATTTGCTCCCTAAAAAACGATAAGATGAAAATTTATTGTTGAGGGAAAAAAAATTGTAAATGATTTCTCCATTTCCATTGATATCGGTAACACAACAAGTTCCTGACGATGTCATGGAGTGTGTAGTTATCATTCAAAAACATTTGTTTCAGTCAGTTCAATTGAAAGATCCAACTATTTGCGCATATGCGTTTCAATATTTCATCAAAACAGTCAAATCATGCTCTATCGACCCGATAAATATAGTTATCCGTGCTATTGCAGCACTTCATTTAGCTTCAAAAGTCTGCGAAGAAGCAAAATTACTTAGTCGAATAGTTTACGCTCTAGAAGACTGCAAACTTAAGGAAAATCTCATTTCTTACTTCAACCGTCTTGGAATATACCAACAAATCTTAGATATGGACCCTCAAGTTTTGATTGAATATTCAAAAATTGCAGAACTCGACATCATTCAAGACCTTGAGTTTGATTTTTCTATTGATCTCCCTTACAATTATATCAAAGACTTCACCAATACAGTTATTCATTGGCATTTAAACAAAGAAAATGAATATTATACCAAAATCATTGACGAAACATATAAAACATCACTTATCTTCTTAAATGATTTACAGATGTCATACGTATTCTACAAATTTCCTCCTAAAGTTATTGCACAAACAGCTTTACGCTTATCATTCCATCTTTTACATCTTACACTTCCAGATTTCCGCAATACTCGATGGTACTCACTTCTTACACCAGAATATCCCATACCATTGCTTGACCAATGCACAGATTTATCATATAATTATTTTGTTAAGCGTGGCCTTGACTTTGCAACTCGTAAGAAGCATATTTTCCCGAAGAACTTGCTTATGGAATGGAATGCCCTACCTATTGTCAATCAAATATCAGCAGAACCTCTTTGTCCTCCTCCTCCGTTGAATTTGTTGATAAATTTTACATCATTACACGACGAATTTTCATCTATTTGGTCCGACCATGTTCCCACAATTCCTCCTCCATTGCACAGCGAACTTGAATCCAGTTACAAGGCGTTTTCACAGAATGAATCTAAATCATACCGATCTCCATCAGTTAAGATCACAAAGATCACTAAATTCGGTATAGAACACAAGAGAATCACATTGTGTCCTCAAAATCGAGAGAACATTTCAAATATTCCAACTGCGAGTTTGTTTGTCAACAACGAGGACCTTCTTAACAAAGACCAGGGACAGATCCATGTACAGAAAGATAAAGTCCAGCCTCCAAAAACGAACTATTCGAGTGAAGTTTCTACTCCAACCGAATTTACAGATTTTCTTCAGAACCACAGATAGAAATTTCATATGAATCTCTTTTCATTTACTTGTTTTTGCGGATTTTTTTTTAATTCATCATCATGATTTTATTGTTTAATAAATGTTATGTGTTTATTGTTTTTTTAAATCATCGTTGTTTATCTCTGAGATATTAAATACCCTTACATGCCAGGTATATCCAAAAAAATACATGTCTCCATAATCTTTGTTATATATGATTCCGTTGCTACCGTTGTGGTAGATTCTTTACATAATACCCTACCTATCTCCCATTTGATACAGCAAGTCAAACTCCTTCCATGTTGGCTAAAAGATTTGATGAATTGTCAATATTTCCTATTACTGCTTGTCGTTGCAGCATATACTTTAATAAGCTAATAAGCATTCTATAAAATTGATCATTTTGTTCTCAAACATTTTGGCGGGACTCTAGCGGTTGAAATTTACGACGATTAAAAAATGACTGGATATGAAAAAGGTCCAGTTATCCCTCCACATGATATGCAGAACAACATGGAACCAATAAACACACTTCCTGGCATCCCCGAATATCCAATGGAGTACAATCCTCAGTCTGTACAAGTGAATTTAAAAGCTGCAAAAAAGCAAAAATTCACACCAGAAGAAGATGAAATGCTCAAGCGTGCTGTCGCTCAACATGGAAGCGATTGGAAAATGATTGCTGCTACTTTTCCAAATAGAAATGCGAGACAATGCCGTGACCGTTGGAAAAATTACTTAGCACCTTCAATTTCTCATACTCCATGGACAGCTGAAGAAGATGCTTTACTTGTACAAAAAATTCAAGAATATGGTAGGCAATGGGCAATCATTGCAAAGTTTTTCCCTGGAAGAACAGATATTCATATCAAGAATAGATGGGTTACAATTTCAAATAAGCTTGGAATACCTCAAACTCAACAAATGCAGGTTGATCCAAACGAGATTATACCGGGCGTAACCATTATTGATAATATGATGAAGCAAGAATCACAATAAACTGTATTTTTTTGGAGCTTTTAGAAAAAAATTTTAATTTTACAATTTAATTTTTTTGAGTCTTTTATTCATAATATTCCGCATTTTTATTTATTTCATATAAAATGAAACGCTGGAAAGTTTCATTGGTAGTAAATAAAGAACTGCAAAATATTTTATTTATAAAAAAGATTAGCAAGCGCAACCTTTGTCTTTCTTCTTATCTTCCTTAATATCAATGCCACCTTCCTGACCATTTTCAGAAACAGCATTGTCCTTTAACATCTTGGAGATTGTCATATCGAACAATTGGTTAATACCAGTGCCGGATGAAGCGCTAGTCTCGCAATAAAGAGCACCATTGGCAGCTGCTAAATCTTTAGCACTAGAATCATGAATGACTCTGTCATCATACAAATCAGCCTTATTGCCGCAAATCATTATAACTGATGAATTTTTGAGGTTCTTCTTTAATTCTCCAACCCAATAGTCGACTGATTCGTATGATGGCTGGTTTGTGACGTCGTAGACAATGATGGCAATATTAGCACTACGATAATACATTGGTGCTAAGCCACGATAAACTTCCTGGCCGGCAGTATCCCAAATTCTGAGCTCAAGATTATGGCCTTCGACGACAACGTTCTTTGTAACAAAAGCTGCGCCGATTGTTGGCTTGAGAGACTCAGAGTATTTACCAGTCATGAATCTGTTGATAATTGATGTTTTTCCGACGCCACTATCGCCAAGCAGAACGACCTTTACAACTTCTGGATTCATTAGCCTAAAGTAATTGAATAAAAATTCATAAAAAACCGCAAACCAGAAAATCCGTCAGATCGAAGATTTTGTTTTTATCAAGTCAGCATAAATATGAACAATAAATTTCAGAAGGATTATTCGGTTCGTAGTTTATAAAGTTGTCAAATTTACCCAGATTTTCCTTACTTTTACCACCCCTCTAAAGCTGGGGACACCGCCTATCGTTGGGAGTAGCTATTAAATAGAACCACCAAGGGTATTTTTCGAACTGCTTGTGTAGTGTAGTGGAAACATCCGAAATAATGATTTATTATGCCAAGGTTTGATTCCCATTTAGCCAATTTTTTTCTTTTTTGGATCATGAATTTTTTTTTGGGTCACTATAAGATTTGTTTCATGTTCTAAATCTGCTGCATATGTAATCTATTTTTATTTACCTATTTTTTAAAAATCTATTGGATTGCCAAATTTGAATATATTTAAAATCATAAAAATCCAAAAAAACTATAAATATATGTTTTATGCATAGTGCCGATACTCAAATATCAGATTACTTAGATCCATGAATAATATCCGAATTTTTTTTCTTAAAATTAAACTTCAAAACTTCTTGCAATCTTATTCTTCATCAATTCTAAATTTTTAAAACCATTTTTTAAAATAATTTTGCGTAAATTTTATTCTCATGTTGTTTTAATCGAAAATTGATACATTTTCAAAAAAATAATATTGACTTATGAAATTCATTTTTAAGGTGAAATAGTATTGTTTTTATTAAAGTATATGAATAATATATAAAAAATTAATGAATAATATAAGCAGATTTTTAGTTTACAAAACAAATATGAGCAATGCAATTTCAAACTTTTGCTGGCAATTTCGATATTGCTCAAGTTTGTAGTATTTGTGATAACTATAACATCAGCTTAATCAAAATTCGATTTTTCTTATGAGTTATTGAGAAAATTTGATTGCAATGAGAAGGATTTCGACGTTTTTGATAAACTAAGAGCTGAGCTTTAGGGGTTCAGTTCATTTATGGCTGTAGTTTGATGCGTAGATCTCTTTTTTATTGTAAATTCTTTCAGCATGGAGATCGAGAATGAATCTTTTGAGAACTTTATGATTTTTTACACCCGTAAAGAGGTCCTTCGAGGAAAGATAGTCCAGACTACATGAAGATGTGGGTTAACCAAAAAAATCCGATGGTTTCCCCATATTCATGTAGATCTTCGAAAAAATGAGCACCAAAAAAGCCAAAAAAATAGGCTTTTTATTGGATTTGTACACTAGATCAATAACCTATTTAGGATCTGACACTCTTTTTAGCCAGAGATATGAGGTCCTTTCTAGGAAAACGATCTATTCATCCATAAAAAAATGAATTATCGTTTTCCCCAGAAATTACATGGGGAGTGGTAAAAGTAAGGAAAATCTGGGTACTATCATTAGTAGTAGGATATGATGGATTTAGTGACTTTTTTTGTTACATCTATATATAGACGATGCATTAAAATATATTTATTTATAAATCATTAAAAAAATTAACATTAATTTTAAAATAATTTATTTTTTTATCTTTTATAAAAGAAGCTATATATAGATGATGTCAGATATTCCGCGATTAATTAAACATTGTTTAAATCCTGAATGGGTTAAACTTCAATTTAAAAATGAAGATTGTGAATTATTAAATGAATATGAAAGCCAAAATAAGCTAATGAGGTATAAATATAATGATAAAGAATATTTAATTTCATGGAATCAATGGAGTCATAATCAAAGACCTCATAAACGAGAAGAAGAAATTGAAAATAATGAAATGGAAATCATTGATGACATTAAAGAGGATGGAATTCCTAAATTTTGTAGAAAAACCTTTAGAACTAAGTTAGGAGCATATAAACGTAGAGTATTAAATCCTGAATATCTTAAACATCAATTTAAAAAGGAAGACTGTGAATTATTAAACGCTAATGAATATGAAAATGCTAAATCAAAACTGAGATATAAATATATTGGAAGTGATGAAAGGTGTAAAGACAAAGATAAAGTTTATTCAGTTTCATATAATAACTGGCACACGTTGGGGATAAGAAAACATTTAGGAGATTATAGGAAATGTTCTGAATTCTTTAAATCTAGTATGTACGAGAGAATAAAATAAATCAGATATAATTATTTTCATGAATTAAGGGTTTCGTTTTGCGAAAATTGTCACTTTTATAGCATATTTGTTTTTGGATGTTTTGCGAAACCAAAAAAAAACTATGATATACAATGTGTGTGTAAAGAAAGTACTTTATTTACTAGTTAAAAAATCATTTGGTATTGATCAAGTTATTTTTTCTGGATAAGATATTATATGGATAATTGGATAGAAAATACAATTATATAATCTTGTACCTGGTTTAATTAAGCTAATTGTCATCAGAAACTTGTAATTTTTATGAATTTCAGATTTTCTTTTCATTACTGCTTTTCTTAATAGGTCAAGTTCTTATTTACGTTATAAAGTATGATATTTACAAATATCAAGTTATCGTGTTTTTTGAGAAATTATGAGAAACAAACAAAAATGAAAAAGATAGGAATAGCAATGAATAGTGATGTGGGTATAGAAAATGTAAGAGATATGAATGCAAAGCGACTTATCTTTTGGCATCGGGATTGATCGGGAAATTGGGATCAACTCATTCAATTTTATCCCGATTAATCGGGATAGATTTCAATACTTTACGGATCGGAATGATTTTAGGTGAAGTGAAAATTTAAAAAATTCATATCTTTCTTTATATTTGTTTCTAAGGGTATTCATTTATATAGCATTGAAGTATATATTATTAGGATGTGTAATGCGAATGCAAATTATTATTTTAATTTATAATTAAAATAGCCCAACTTGTAGTATACTATAGTCTCTAGCAATGTACCGTCCAATAAGAAATTAAATCCAATGAAACATACACAACATTCTCCTATATCTTCTGTAGTTGCATATTATATATTCAAACGATTTTTAAATAATGTTTCTATCAAATGTGTAGTGATTCCGTCCCGATTAAAAATTGAGTACTTTCATCCCGATTTATCGGGATAAAATTGAATACTTTTATCCCGATTTCCCGATCAATTCCGATGCCGCCTGGACACACATATTATAAGGCTGTCATTTAAAGCATAATGAAACTATTCCCTTTTCATTTTAATCGAATAAGATAGTAAAGATTTTTGAATTAGCTAGAAACTGATGAGATGTTTTCACAAATCAGATTTTTAATCTCTATAATGCATAATTCACTCAATATCTCAATTTTGATATTGCGAGATATTTTTGCTATCGGTTTCGCAATTTTGACAAAATAGCAAGAGGGTTCTATAAGCATTATTATCAACGTAGAATCTGAATATCATATCAGAAAATGTCGCAAATCTGACATTTACCCGACCAAATAGCAAAAATAATTGAATACTTTTCGCAAAAACTTTAAAAATCGATAAAAATATGAAATATAGATATTAAAGAGACTTTTTATATAATATTCATAAAGATTTTCCAAAAATATGATACCGCAAAATTAAAAAAGTGACGTCTTGAGTGGAGTCAAAGGTCGAAATTGCTAGCTAAATGTTTTTTTAGCGAAATTGCGTATTGTACGTTTTTTTCGCAAAACGAAACCCTTACATGAATAAAAGATTCACTACCATAATGAAATAAAAAATAAAAAAATTTTTAAAAAATCAACTTTAAAAATTCATGTCTTACGAAAAATTAAAACTTAGTTATGTTTATTATTTTATTTTTTTATTTTGTATGAAATGAGCGTCAAAACTAACAACGTTAAAAAATTAGGATTCACAAACGAGGAAATAAAGGATATATTAGAGGAGGTGGGTTATGAAGTTAATAAATATTATTTAAGAAATTGTCAAAAATTTGCCGAGTTATTAAATGATTTTGATTATGATGGAAAAATGAATAAAGATGATGTTATAAATTTCTTATATCCCACATCTGAAGAAGAAAAACCTAAAGAACCTGATGTTTTCCCTGAATATTATGGAGAACAGATTAAAGATGATGAATACAATGAAATTGAAAGACTGAAAAAAATAAGAGATGAAATAGATGAAAAAATTAAGGAATTAAGAGAAGTTGAAAAATATAATGAAAATGAAGTAGAGGGTTTAATGAATATCCCAGCTTCAGAATCAGAAGTTCAGAAATCTCATGAAGAAAGATATAAAAATTATGTCTCAGAATCAACACAAAATTTATTAGATGGTGAAATAGACGAAACACTTTCAGCAGAAGGTACTAAATTTATTCGTAAACATAAGTTACAATTTATTGATAATGAAGAATACCCCTGTATCTTATTTTCACCCCCTCTCGATTCCGAAAAATTCAAAAAAGCTCTTAAAAATGTAACATATGCAACAAATACGATTAAGAAAGAAGATCATGATATTTACACAAATTATTATTTAAATAAATGCACAGATGTTGATAAAGTTTTTGATTTATTAGATAAAATATCAAAAGAAACCATTGGAACCTATAAAATTTTGTGTGATTGTGGTTTCATTGTTGAAGATGCCAATAATGTTTCATATGAAAGAACAGCACCGAAGGAAGACAAAGTTGAAAGGTCTATACCATTCGTTATTAAGCACATAAAAGATATGAAAACTTATAAACATTATATTTATTCATTTATTTCAGAAAAAATGGAAGCAACCCATAAAACATCTTCTCATCATTTTATAGCTATTCATACATTCCTTTTCAAAGTTGTGAAATTAAATAAGACAGGAATTAGATTTAATGTATCAGGGTACGCATTCTTGAGTAAATTAAAATGTATTCGTCACGTCGCGGATGATAAAAATTTATGTGTTCTTAATTCATTTTATGGGCTTTAAAAAATAAAGTTTATTTTTATTTATTTTTTAATTTTTTATTCTTACATAAATGAACAAAAACGGAACAGCTAAAATGAATGATAATCAAATTA